TTGATTCTTCTATAAGTTGTCCAATTTTGAGGGTGATCAGACGGTGAGAAGGTCTTCATCTCTGCATGAGAGTTCTGACGGTCTGCATTTATCCAAAAGAGTCTTTTTGTTCCATTTTGTGCCTCTTTATCCCAAATTATCTGAAAAGTCTTTTAAAATCCGGAAACATAGAAATCCTTTGAAAACCTTTGAAAATGGAGTAAAAACACCTGTAAAAGATATTAAAGTGATCCATAAAAATGGTCAAAATCCGGTGTTATCACACTCATGAATATGATATTCATTGCCTTCTCGCATCTTTCAGATCTCTTGGCATCTAACTCTGCTTTCTTCTTGAGTTTTGCCGGATCCTTCTCCTTTTCTTCTTCGTCCGAGTCTTCTTCGCTTTTAGGAGTGAGAACATCCTTTAAGCCTTGGATACTAAGATGCGCCATCATGCGCTTCCTCCAGATCCCGAAGTCTCCATTGCCATCAATCGGAACGATCTCATATCGAGACGTTGTCGTCGTCATCTCCGATCTCTCGAGCTATCGATGAACCTGTCTCTGATACCAATTTGTGAAACTTATCGCACTCAATGAATCTCACAATCACTCGCTTAGATCGATTTAGATATAGAACGAGAAAGACTTGAAAGTAAACGACACAGAGATTTAACGAGTTCGGGGCATTAATGAGCACCCTACGTCTCGCCGACGATACTTCACCGGAATCCACTATCACTTGAGCTCAATACAAGCTACAACAATGTCACTCTCTCTCTACAAGATTCTCACTTTCTCTCTCTATTTACACACGACGACTCAAGAAAGAAGATGAGTCAACCAATGGTCATATAAGACCGTTACAGACACGCTTACACATTTCATACGCATGATCAATGAGAGAGCTCCATCTAGTAAACTTAAACCGTACCGGATTGAATACTTAATCCTCGGTTATCTCGAGCTGGTCAGCTCCTAGAATACCTTCTTAATCACCTAGAGTCTTCGGCACACTTAGTCTTTATCGACTAGTGATCATGACTACTATTCCTTCAATAGTGTTACCTCGTTATCATTCAGATTGAACGCAGAGTTTGAAGATATGGATTAATCTGTGTTAATCAAAAGTTAAAAAGGAAAATCGGGTTGGGTATGCCATAAAGGTATATGATATTCTCACTCTAGTTTTTTCTGGCCATCATGAAATTTAGGTTGGGCTTTAAATTGGCCTTGAGATGGCCATAACACTCTTTTCGCATAGCTACTTAGGAACAATTCATTGAATTTTGTCGAAGTTTTACATTTATATATATAGAGAGAAAAGAAACCAAGTCCAATACCCAATTATTAAATTAAAAGCAAATGGAATACATCACTGAATATATAAGTGTGAAAATTGTCGTAAATAGGCCAATGCCAGAAACATTTAAAGGCACTGAATTTGTTATTTCCTATGGTATTGCATGGACTTCTTTAATTTAGGAGATTACTAATGTATACGACCTGCACGTTCAAACACTCACGTATAAATATTGAAAAACAAAATAACGGAAATGATACTTTTGATGGATAGTTTTCCTCTATGTCTTTTATTACGCATAATTTTATACACCGGCCAGTGTAAACAATATTTGTGGGTAAAGCATTTTTTAAGAGATTATGCATGTAATAGCAGAGGCGGACCCATGCCTAATGATACAGGGTCAAGTGACACCCTTAAAATTTCTAGTATTCATGTTTAACCTTTTGTAATATAACATAAAGGTAGTATGCTTTCTTGCATTGCACCTAATCTTTGTTGAACTTCAAACATATAAGAATTTCCTTTAACAACGAGAGTTAGAAAAATGAGAAACAGTTTCTATGTCACATAACTATTTTTTTTGGTCGACTATGATAGATAAAGTTTTCATAATTTATACTCGAAAGAGATTTTTCTTTTTTTATCAACTTATTTATTCATACAGAAAATTGTCTTTAATTAAATTTAATTAGGAAATAACTTAAAAAAAACAATAAATTTCAAAAGCATTTGTTAAGTTAATATATATTTTCTGTTAATAATGCATTGACTCAATCTATTTTTCTAATTATTATTTTGTATTTGAAAGTATTATATAATGAGGTTTAAAAATATTTGACTTCATAACACATATACATAACATTATAATGTATTATTCAGTCATGGTTTTCATGGTTTTCATGACTTAATCATGGTTTTCAATAGAGTTTAAATCTATCCACAATTTATTATTATTCAATGATTAATTTTTAATTTTAAAAAGAAAAATATTTGTGGGTTTAATATGTACAGTTTATTCATTTTTAAAATAACTGCTTAAATAATAGTATGAAGATTTTTGACAATTTGAAAAACATTATTTTAGACAATTTTAATGACATTCTCTCTCATGACAATTTTGATCTAGTTTACTCTTATTTAAAACATGCAGTTTTGTTCTATGAAAGATCTGTAAAGTTAGCCCACAAAATTTTCTATAACCACTCATTAAAATAAAGTTTAGTTATATAATATCTTAGAAAGTAAAATTCATTTGTGTAAATGACTAACATCTTTGTATAACTAGCTAAATTTAGAAAAAATTCCTTTGTATAACTATGTCCAAATCAGTTAAACAGTGGACTTTATTGAGCTTGATCCACCGGTATTAGATCTGTTTGACATTTCTAGTAGTTCATCTAAAATAATTAAGAATTACTAAATTTTATAATGAAACAAATAGAATATTTTTAAATGGCTCAATAACATCTTGTAACAAACAATTAAATTTTCAAAGCTTAGAAAAGTAAAAAAAATTCTTAAGAAAAATATTCAGGTTAAAAATTAGTTTACATCAGCAAAATTATCGACAATGACTTGAAAAGAATAACAATAATTTGATCATTTTTGCTTAAAAAAACATGTTTTTGTTATCAACTGAAATATTTTAAGAATTTAGATCCATTAGAAATCCAATGACTGTAGTATTTAACGATTATATTCATTTTAGAAAGATTATTCCAGTAGTAAAAATTCAGATCACTATTTATATATGTTTTTTTTTTTTAAAAAACGTTTGTTAATTACATCTTTTTAATATAATTTCCAAGAACCAGTGTTTGGGTCTGCTCTACTCTGCTGCATCAATCCACTATGCCTCGTGCGCAACAACGAATCTAACAAGACACCACCAAGCCAAGAATCAGCTTCACACGATTCCACGCGATATGTAACGCGTGTCTATTACGCTCTAGTTTCAGCAGATAAATTTGATGGCTGTTTTTCTTGTCTTTCATTATGTTTCTGATTACTTATCCATACATACTAGATAACCTCATGTTTAGATCTTCTAATAAAAAAAACTAATAAAACAAATAGAGTTATAGATCTATCACCAACTAATAGAATGTAGACGAGCAGTTGGAATAACTTTTTTATTTCCACGAAATTGTTGATTAAAACAGTTGAATCTTTGCTATCTCCTCTATAACAAGAACAAAATCCAATTTTGCAGAAGATGACTCCGAACCTTTTATGTAATAAAGACTATAAATTTGGCAGTCCGATCTATGACATTTTCTTCGTCTCTACACAAGACTTAAATCATATTCCAACAATACTAGAGAAAACTAAAACTGAAATCTGAATGTAAAAGTAACCGTTTCAAGTTTCAACACATTTAGATCTAATAGTTTTATGTGTGTTGTAATAATTTTCTAAGAATCGATAGAAAAATACGATGCCAAGTAATGAATGGAACAAGAGACTAATCTATGAACATTACATGAAAATTTAGGATACTGATAGACAAACAAATACTTGATTCAATCGTTATTCGGTGCTTTGGTTTATTCAAAAAGCATAGAAAAGGGAAATTACTTAACACTCTATTAAACCCCACAAAATAGGTAACGTGTCGTCTCAAAACTTCTAGGTTCAATTTTATTTAGATCGAATGCAGTACAGTACTATATAACAAAAAGAGAAGAAGAAATTGGTGTAACAATGATGTTTCCGAAGACGATAGATAAAATATTATAGCTCAAGTCTATGGTCTAATTTGATTTCTAGAGTCAAACCATACAAATTATAATCTAGGAAAGTAATAATAAATACGCGAATGTGGTTTCAAATATATACTCATTAACCTTTAGATTCATGTATGGTGTTGGAAACATTAAAAAAGAGCTTAAGTTTTGTAGGTCCCATCATATATTCATATTAATCAACTTCTTAAGCGTATTCATTTATTTTCTTTTTGTACTATTTGACTAATTATGATATTGATTAGACTAATCTCATTGCTATCCGACTACTTGTGTCAGTTCAAAACACAGTGATTTGTGATTAGCGTTAGATTTTGTGCTCTTTTGTTTATTAGTTTTACTCTTTACATAGCCATAGCGATGGAACAAAGCTGCTTTAAGAAAATTTCCTTGGTCTTTATTTCTATTTGATTTTGGACTATCACTACTAAACCCATTTATTTAAATATTTTAGGTTCCTAGATTCACGTCATGTGGCTTGTTGGTTTCCAACGCTATATTTTACTCATCTTATTACAAAAAGAAAATAGTTTTATTCCATTCTCATTCTCAGGATATACGGGATTTGATAAATTCAAAGTACCCATTAATTATTTTTAATTTACAGCTTGTAAGTTACATAATAACATTTATTTCTTTTCCCAAAAAAATACAAAACGGCCAAGTGGAGAGTCGATTAAATATCAAAAGCTAAATATCTTAGTTTTATTGTTTTTGTCAGCAAGTTAGTATATCTAATTATATGTACATTAGTGACCATATTTACGAATTAGTAAAATCAAAAAGACAAAAAAAAAAAACAACTCAGAGAAATTTCAAAAGGGCGTCCAAGTTCGGTTCATGTAAGAACAAGTGGGACCCATTAATTTTCCAAATATAAAAAATAAGTAATTTCTCGAAAACCTTCCTCCAAAACCAACGGCTCCGACTTTACTTACACCTATATCTCCAACGACGGCTTAAGGCGGTTTCACGCAGTCTCCGCCACTAATCAGCTCAAATTTACAAAACTCCGGCTTGTACATATATATATATATATATTGCACGTTTATAAATAGATTTCAGATTTGTCGCTATCTCTTCTCCAGATTCTATTTTCTGGATTTGTGCTCTCTCTCTCTCTGTCTCTCTCTTTTCCTCTTCTGGTCTCGTCGTTTTCCTTAATCGGAATGCCGGCAAGAAATAAAAGATTTTCCCACGTCGCTGCGTTTGAATATCACAAGTTCGATGAGATCTGAGAGAACTTAACAGTTTGATCCAAAAAATCATGTCTTTCAGGTACATTTTCTTCTTTGCATGTTCTTTCTACTGTTTCAAGTTAAAGTTTTAATTTTTACCCTTTATTTCTTCGTTGACTTGTCAAATTTGTGTCATCTTCGGGTTTTTGAACTCCTAATTTCTTCAATTTTAATGGGTCTTTCTCAATTTCCTCCCTTTTTACACTTAACATTCTCTACTACTTGCAGAGATTAAGCATTTTTTAATGAAGATGGTGAGAGAAACAGCTTATAGGTTATTGATACTAATCTCAATCCTGATTTGGGTTTCTCCGGCGGCTGCTGGAAACGGCGGGTGTAACTGCGAAGACGAAGGAGGAAGTTTCTGGAGCACAGAGAACATTCTCGAGACGCAAAGAGTGAGCGATTTCTTAATCGCAGTCGCTTATTTCTCAATCCCGATCGAGTTACTCTACTTCGTGAGCTGCTCAAACGTTCCCTTCAAATGGGTTCTCTTCGAGTTCATCGCCTTCATCGTTCTCTGCGGTATGACTCATCTCCTCCATGGCTGGACTTACGGTGCTCATCCTTTCAAGCTAATGGCGGCGTTGACCGTTTTCAAGATGTTGACCGCTCTCGTCTCTTGCGCCACCGCGATTACGCTCGTCACTCTGATTCCTCTGCTTCTGAAAGTTAAAGTTAGAGAATTTATGCTCAAGAAGAAAGCTCATGAGCTTGGACGTGAAGTTGGACTGATTATGATTCAGAAAGAGACTGGCTTTCATGTCCGTATGCTTACTCAAGAGATTCGCAAGTCGCTGGATCGGCACACGATTCTTTACACTACTTTGGTTGAGCTTTCCAAGACTTTGGGGTTGCAGAATTGCGCGGTTTGGATGGAGAATGATGGTAAAAGCGAGATGAATCTGACTCATGAGCTTAGAGGGAGGAGTGGTTATCATGGTTACTCTGTTTCTATGGAGGATTTGGATGTTGTGAAGGTTAGAGAAAGCGATGAAGTGAGTATATTGAGCGTGGACTCGTCGATAGCTCGAGCTAGCGGTGGAGATGTTACTGAGATTGGACCAGTGGCTGCGATTAGAATGCCGATGCTTCGTGTGTCGGATTTCAAAGGAGGGACTCCTGAGTTGATTAAGACGTGTTATGCAATACTTGTCTGCGTGTTACCGAGCGGACAGCCTCGAGATTGGACGTATCAGGAGATTGAGATTGTTAAGGTTGTGGCTGATCAAGTAGCGGTTGCGTTGTCTCACGCAGCGGTTCTTGAGGAGTCTCAGCTCATGAGAGAGAAGTTAGCGGAACAGAACAGAGCGTTGCAGATGGCCAAGAGGGACGCTTTGAGGGCGAGCCAAGCGAGGAATGTGTTGCAGAAAGCTATGAGCGAAGGTATGAGACGTCCGATGCATTCTATACTCGGGCTTTTGTCGATGATTCAAGACGAGAAGCTGAGTAACGAGCAGAGGATGCTTGTTGATACTATGGTGAAAACAGGGAATGTTATGTCGAATTTGGTTGGGGATGCGATGGATGTGTCGGACGGTAGATTCGTAACGGAGATGAAACCGTTTAGTCTTCATCGTACGATCCGTGAAGCAGCTTGCTTGGCGAGATGTTTGTGTCTTTACAATGGGTTTCGGTTTTCGGTTGATGCAGAGAAGTCTTTGCCGGATAATGTAGTAGGTGATGAAAGAAGAGTGTTTCAGGTGATACTTCACATGCTTGGTAGTTTAGTAAAGCCTATAAGGCGTCAAGAAGGATCTTTTTCGGTGATGTTTAAGGTTTTGAAAGAAAGAGGAAGCTTGGATAGGAGTGATCAAAAATGGGCTGCTTGGAGATCACCTCCTTCTTCAGCTGATGGAGATGTGTACATAAGATTTGAGATGAATGTAGAGAGTGATGATTCAAGTTCTCAATCATTTGCCTCTGTTTCATCAAGAGATCAAGAAGCTGGTGGTATGAGATTATCTGGATTTGGGTTAGGACAAGATCTGAGCTTTGGTGTTTGTAAGAAAGTGGTGCAGGTCAGTTTCATCGTACATGTTCTTGTTATTAGTCTTATTCTTTACAATGTGTATTTATGTCTAGTTCTTTTATAATGTTTTGCAGTTGATTCAAGGAACTATCTCGGTGGTTCCTGGCTCGGACGGTTCACCGGAAACCATGTCATTGCTCCTCCGGTTTAGACGCCGACCTTCAATTTCAGTCCATGGATCAGGCGAGTCGCCAGCGCCAGACCACCATCCTCACTCTCATTCGAATTCTTTGTTACGTGGCTTGCAAGTTTTATTAGTAGACAGCAATGATTCGAACCGGGCGGTTACGCGTAAACTTTTGGAAAAACTTGGATGCAGTGTAACCGCGGTATCATCTGGATTCGATTGCCTGACCGCCCTTGGTCCAGGCTCGTCCTCTTCTTCGTCTCTATTCCAAGTAGTGGTTCTTGATCTCCAAATGGCGGAGATGGACGGCTGTGAAGTAGCTATGAGGATCAGGAGCCGATCTTGGCCTTTGATTGTGGCAATGACGGTGAGCTTGGACGAAGAAATGTGGGACAAGTGTGTGCAGATTGGGATCAATGGAGTTGTGAGAAAGCCAGTGGTGTTGAGAGCTATGGAGAGTGAGCTCCGGAGAGTATTGTTGCAAGCTGATCAACTTCTCTAGTTGATCTCCATTTGATCTCTTCTATCTACATTCAAATTCTTACAACATTGTTTTTACACCATAGGTTATATCAAATATTAAAAGGAAATTCTGAAATTGTTATTATATACCATCCATATCTCTATGATTTGTATATCTTTTGTCATTTTGTTCCTTTTCTCATTCGGACCCCACGAAATTGCATGAATCTTAGTATTTCGGTAGGGTAAGGACAGAACGTTTAATAATAGAAAATATAGATAATTAAACGTTATCCAAGGTATTGGTTTAGTAGATTATATAGATCATAAATCTAACAAAATTATAGGTGTTTGAGTTAATGGTTAATCCCTGTTGCAAATTCCTTAGGGTTATGTGTTAGAACTCAGAGTCTCATATACTTAAATCTGACGGCTTTTTCAAAAAAAAAAAAAAAAAAAACGATGCGCAGAAGAATTAACAAAAGTGCTAATTATAGTCCTACTAGTTATTGTACGACAAAAATAGTCAGTTTTTGTTACTTTATTAGTTAGCAGTTAAAACCGATATATATTAGAAAATGTTAGATACATGCCCCCTGGACTAGCAAAGATTAAACTAACTGCACATTCCTCGAGCCTAATAAACTGCATAAAATAAAGAAAGTAGAAATAGATTGGATTTGCAGAAAGTGAATCTAGGGAGAGATGGGTTTACACAACTTGCTATTATATATTCAAACCCACTTGTGGCTAATACAATTGTTTCTTCGAGCCAGATAATCTCTATAGAATAGTATTAATCATTAGTTCAAATTTAAAATGCTAATTATTCGACAGTTACACTAAAAACCAAGGAAAGCCAAGATAGCTTGGTCGGAAGTGTGCAAATCGAAGCAGGATAGAGGGCTGGGCCTGAAGAATCTAGCTGTTGCAAATGATGTTTGTATTCTGAAATTGTTTTGGAGGATAGTCACTGTCAAGCAATTATTATGGGTTCGATGGACATAAGTAAATCTAATGAGAGATGGTTCTGTGTGGCTCACCCCACCTCCTACTACCCAATCTACGGGTTCATGGATGTGGAAGCAAATTCTGTACATTAGGCATCTCGCAGAGGCATTTCTAAAAGTGCGAGTTGGTAATGGTAGTTCTACCTTGTTCTGGTACGACAATTGGTCGTCGCTTGGGAATCTATTAAATTTGTTTGGAGCCCGAGGCTGTGTTGACTTGGGAATTCCCCACACGGCAACAGTTGAGGACGCAATTCAATCGCATCGAAGACGAAGGCATCGAGTTCAGAAATTGAATGAAGTTGAGGATGAGTTAGAGGTATTACGGAGGAGATATCAACATACAGAGGATGACACATTCGTATGGAAATCGAAGGCGGATTCATTTAAAACGGTTTTCAGTGCAAAAGCAACTCGGGACCAGCTTACAAATTCGTCGAAAGTCCCTTGGCTGAAGGGATCTGGTTCAAGCATCATTCTCCGAAGTTCGGATTCATGGCTTGGCTGGCTCTGCACAATAGACTTTCAACAGGTATCGAATGCAGCAATGGAACCCAAATATTTCAGTTTCGTGTGTGCTTTGTCAAGCTCCATTGGAATCGCGAGATCATTTATTCTTCTCCTGTCCTTTTTCGATGCGGATATGGACAACTGTAGCTAAAGGAATTATGCAACAAGAGTTCACCACAGATTAGGCGACTCTAGTCACTCTAATTTCACGGCGTCAGTAGCATCTGGTTAAGGGGTTCATCACTCGTTACCTGTTCCAGCAGACAATTCATGCAATTTGGAGGGAGAGAAACTGTCGTAGGCATGGTTCACCTTCTTCAGATTGGACCAGAATAGTGAAGGAAATCGATAAGGGGATCCGAAATAGTCTAAGCTCCATTCGCTCCCAGGGAGACACCAAATACGCGGATGGTATTCAGCTGTGGTTTGCCTCAAAATCACGACACTGAGTAGTTCTAGTACTCTAGTCGAGATCACAAAATTTTGTTTTTCTTACCTCTGTAGCTTTATTTTGATTAAAACGCTCGCATCATCGATGTAGAAAACGCTTTTTTTTGTTCGAATAAAATTTAACATTCATCCAAAAAAAAAAAAAAAAACCAATCATGCCAAATACGTGACTCTTAACTTTACATTCTAGAGTCCATAACTTTCCTGGACGCATCCTACATATATATCCGCTTCACTATACTTAGTTATCTCGAGTAAAATAGTTTTGAGAAAAAAGGAATTAGATTAACGGTAAAAATGAATAATTACGTATAAACAAGTAGATATTGTAAAAAAAAATGGATATTGTTTATAATTAATGAATAAAACATGTTGATTGTGGATTTGACTCTCGTCTACGATCAACATGAAGACTTTTTAACTTTTCAAATCCACGATAGCAAAATGAATACACGATGAACATGTTCTATCGTTTGTTTCACAACTACTAGCGATATGACTAAATCATCAGTAACTGATGATTCTATAGCAAATTTCAAAGATTAGCGGCTAAATTTTGTAGTTTTTAACGATTTAAAATTTAAAGTAAGTAGTCAAACACTAAAATATGTCATTGTTGCTAAACGACTGCAAACGAAACATGACAAGAAAAGATTTGCTATAAAGAACAAAGTCTCAAGAATTTATTTTAACTCATTCATGTATTGCTTTCTTGCCAAAAATCCCAAGAACGATCGTGGCAGAAATTCTGGAATTGACTCTATAAACAAAGACTTTCCGGCATTAATCAAGTATATTTGTAAGTATTTAAAGTCTTAAGAACAAAAATGTGAAGAGTGTATATAATCACTACCAATTTGCACATTCCATTTTATTTCTTCTCAAACACATTTCACACATGTCAATATGTCATGTTTGAAACTACATATTGAGATGTATACATTTGTGTGACAAAGTAACATTCTAGATAATAAGGTTTGATCAAGAGACATCTGAGTCAATATACGTTGAGGCCCAAACCCATGAGCCTTGACCCATTTAAATAGTTTATCAATATTAAAAAAAAAAAACAAAGTTTTCATTCCTGCACATTGCACAACAATCAATTGCAGTAGTAAATGAAAGAGATTCTCAACGTTGACAAAGAAAATAAAAACCCAACCACAAAAATGTCAAGCGTGGTTCAAAAACCATCAATGCACTTTCTCTACCCAATCTCTATATCTCTCTCTGTTTTAATGCATTCATCACCTAACACATCTCTCTTGTTGGTTGGCTTTATTAACCGTCTGCAAAAGATCTCAGATCCATTTTTAACTATCTCTAACATTGGAGTAATAACCAACTGAATTTCATTTCCACAAATCTTTTTTTTATGTATGCAAACGAGACTAGAGATTTTAGATATTCACATTGTGTTGAATCATAAACAAATGTATCTATAAAACAACACTTAAAAACGAAACAACAAAACCAACTGTTAGTCCAAGTAAGCTGCACGGCATTGGCTTTGCCACTCGAAACAATCTTCATAATCAAAGCTACTCGCGCAATCCAGCAACGCATTCTGCTGCTGTTCGTAATGGCAAATGTAGTTCAACCCAACAAGAAGCTTACAAATCGCAGCTTCTGTCTTCTCTCTATCAGCAAAGTAAAGCGTCTGAAGTAGAAGCACATTGGTTCGTTTCACAATCTGATTATGCTGCTCGAAGTTGCGTTCGCTCTGCCATCTGATCATGTTGTGTGCCAAAGGTGCAAGCCAAGAAAGTATACCATCTATCGTTTCTTTCCAATCGTGAGCTAGAGGAGCGTCGTAGATCGAAATGTTCTTCAAGTATGATCTGAGATTAGCCTTCAAGGATGTTTTCAAACTCGTAGGTAACATTTGGTAAAGATCGTCTCTTGCTTCTTCACCTATTAGATGAGGATACTTGAGAAGCTTCTCTACCACAATCACAACATTTGCATAGTGTAAAGATAAAGCAGACCCTCCAATAGTTGAAACCGAAGCGTGTTGAGTTAATCTGCTTTTAGAATCAAACTTACTAGTCCGCATAGTTCGAGCTGTGTTTAAAGGAAACATGATACGACCAGCATCACCATCATAATCCTCATCATCATCGCTAGTCCTAGAAACCGAGCTATTCATAGCAAGACATTCCATGAAAAGCCTCCCGGGATTAGTCCCACAAGGAAAGTTGAAATCCCCTGCACGACTAAACTCCTCTGCTTCACTTCTCCTTGAATCCTTAAAACTCACGACAGATCTCGAGTTAACGAGCTTGTTGGCTTCGTTCTTGCTACGATCTCTCTTCAAAGTCGAATCCTTTTTCCCTCTCAAAGCCAAACCACCAAAAACAGTCTCAATCCTGCCATAGATTGTGCAAACCGTTCTAGCCAACATCTCAACAACTTTATCATAAGTTTGGTTCCACAGTGAAGCATCTCTGAGACTCCTCACGTCCTGTCTCTGCCACATAAGCTTCTGTTCGAAAGCTTTAACACTCTCTTGATGCTGTTGGCTTCGCTGAAGCTTCATTACCGCTTGTTCAAGCTCATTCATCACTTCCATTTCACAATACAGACTACAAGTAGCGTTAACGAGCCTCTCCATCTTCTTAACCATACTCTCCATATCTTTCACCAAGAACCCTAATTTCCTAAAATCGATTACCCCATTCACTATATCTTCGTAGACATGCTCGAATCCTTGTAAAGCCGGTTCGCTACACTTTTTCCCTAACCTAGACACGACGCTAGCTACACGGCTTAAATCGTCAAGCTTCTCGGAGACGGCGAGGTCTAAGAGGTGAATCTCGTCGGAAGATACCAAATTTCTAACTCCTTCCGACCGGAATACCTCGGATTTGAGCTTTGAGATCTCGTTGTCGGAGAGGGAACGGTGAAGGTGAACGGTTTTGGACATGATGTTGGCTACTTCGAAGGATAAGATCCCAATTGTTTGCTTAGGGAGAGAGGTTTTAGGGGTTTTCTTTGTGGAAGATTCTAGAAGAAGAGCGTGTTTGAGATTGGCACTTACTTGGTTTCCCATTTTCACAATCCAAGCTTCTGCAACCATGGCGAATCGAAATTAAAAATCGAAACTTTGAACAGTGGAAAATTCAAATAAAGCTTGCTTCTTTTTCTCTCTCTCAGGGAGGGTAAAGATTAAAAGCGTATTAAGAACAGATCCGGGGAAAAAGAAAAGGGATTTTTGACCAAGACATTTGGCTTTCGCGATAAACGAAGAAAGGAAGTGGGATTCGCGCATGAAAAGGGGATAATCATTGGGGATTATGGGCGGTACTAAAAGAAGAACACACCATTGATGTGATATGATGTTTAGATTCGGCGTGTGCTTTTGTGGGTATTGGGGAGGGGCAAAGTAAAAAGTGGTGAAGAAGAGGAGGCAGAAGAAGAAGGAGGATTGATGAGTAAAGCTTTGGACCCAACTCGCAAGCTTCTTGTAACAGAGAGAGAGAGAGGAGAGATTTTGAAAGTTTGGAAATTTGGGTTTGATTTTTGGGTTAGAAAAGTGGAGTAGAGAGAGAGATGAAGAGAGTTGTTATTAAATTTTCTTCAATTTTTGAAATGGATTGATGCAGCTTGTACTTGCTCCACTAATGTTCTTCTTATTTTAGTATTTTTATATTGGTTTACTCAAATTTCAACTTATTCAATATCAAAGATTTTATTCTGTGCTTCCTCAAGAGAATTATTTTTTATTTATATAATATAATTTTTACTTTTATTTTTCTTTATAAATAATTTATTTAATAATTAATAAAAAAAAATTATTTAAATATAATTTGTTTCTATTAATTTATATTTTTAAGTATTATATATAACTGAAATAGCGAAATTAGAAAAACATTATTCAAACCTGTCTATTCATATTGATTTGATTTGAAAAATATCATAATTAAAAATATTACTATTAAAATATGTTTATTTATACTAATTTAAAAAACAAAAATTATTAAAATATTTAATGTATTCATTCATATTATTTATATATTTTAAATATTTAAATTTTAAAATTATTTAAAATAAAATATAATAATATATTATTTTATTTTTTCATTGAAAATATTATTTAAATTTAAATATTTAAATTAGATCTAAATTCATATTTGAATTATTATTTTTATAAAAATATAATAATAATTTATTTTATAATTTTTGATAATATAACAGAAAATCTATAACATCTATAAAAATTAAATTTTCGGATTTATACTAAAATTAAAATTAAAAATTTATTATTTTATAAATATTACATTAAATTAATTTATTTAATAAATATATATTAAAATTATAATTGTTTGACAACATAATAATAGTTATCCAAAAACAGAATAATAAAAAATCAAGTAAAAATTTTATTTAGACACAAAACACCCTTCTCATATCTCTTTTGCTATGACCATCTACAATTTCGTTTCTAAATAGTATATAATTGGTCGACAAAAAAAAAACCATATATAATTAACTTTGATATGACCATCAATATTTTTTCCCCGTAACGACCAATATATTTTCTACTATTTGTAAACAAAACTAAAAGTTCGGTTGTCCACTAATATTTTTTTTTTTCGCAAGATATCATATTTGTGTTTTTCAGAGAGTTTACATAACACAAATTTCATCCTTAATTAAAATATTTCATTCAAAATCTTAAGCTTTAAATTTCGGTAAACATAAAAAAAAAAAACAGATGTATGAATGGAAAGTGGAGGAATGGAATATATGAAAATAATGGAATATATCTATTGCATTCATTTCTCTCTAAAATTGCATTGGGATATTTACTTTTAAATTTTATTATATTTCTGTAATGGAATGAGGGCATTCAACATAAATGATTAAATTTTAACAAGATGTCGATGAATGTGAATTTTTCACTTTACCCTCAAGTTTTGATGAGGTCACATTATTATTTTCCAATTGAATGAAATCTTTATAAGATATAATGATATTGGGAATATTAGAATAACTGTTGCGTGGGCGTGACATCATCACAACTTGAGACCATTAAACTGGAAGAACGCACTTGTAAAGTTGACTACAAAAGAGTTTGTTTGACCGATGATGTTCTTCTTGTTGTCTCCATTCTGTTTGGATTTTTTGTCGGCTAAAGATTACCTAATTGACACTCACAAACATTAGAAAATCGCAACTCTTTCTCTATCTTTTCAACACCATTTTTTGTTGACCTAATTTGTAAAAGAAAATCAAAGATAAAAACCAAGTGCCATTATTCAACACGGATCTAGTTTTTTTTTTTTAGTTTTTTTGAAAATTCGTTGCGTCGTGTTTGAAATGTTTTCGATAAAAGAAGAAATAAATAAAGTTTTGTTGGACGATGATTAGTTGAGTGGAGGAGGAGTTGGTGACTTAAAATTCTTAATGTGAAGCCGAGACAAAACACACACAGACAACAGAAAAATACGGATTGATTTCCAGCTCATGACGGGAATAGCCTAATTATCAAATATTTTGTGAGAAAAATACATCAAATATTCTATTGATCAAACATCAAAATCTTGATCGCAAACATATAATTACACACATATATATTATTAAGTTATTAACCTAAAAACATGAATACGCTGAAACATATTTTCTTTTGTATTAAGACAATAATGTTAAAAAAAACCATCAATTTAAATATTTAGATTTATTTTCCCTCTGTAGCAAAAACTGAAAAATCGAATGAAGTTAGAAAAATGTAGGACAAAAATATATTATGCAATTTGTTTATGAAATTCGATTCTTCCAAGTCCCAACCTACATATTTGATAACATGTCTAAAAAAAACGTGTAAACCAGACACAAGTCTTTTGCATGATCAACTATGTTTCGTTCTTCGACATGGACTTTTAAAACGCAACTAGCATTGAGCAAAACTTAACCGAACCTAGACTTCAAGCTCGCGGACCTCCCATGATACCTGGCAAGTGGCAACTCCATCGAACCAGTCTTAAATTGACGGTCTCAACAAACATAAACCACGATCAACAGAACATAAAGATAGATCTTCTGATAAGCTCCATGACAAATAATATTCGATTCTCACATTTTTGTCTTTTTTGATGCGCAATCTTGAAAACTAATAAGGTCTCATTTCTTAAATACTAAATGAGAATCCTTTTGGAGAATTGGATCTTTAATTTTGAACAACTAACCATGCCATATTAACACATCTCATGCAATGGAATGATATGCCATATCATTAGTTTGCTTATTTTTAGGTTTCTCTTTAATTTCTCAAACAATATATAGGAGATTTTGGTTTATTTAAAACTTGAAATTAAATTAATGAAATTATAGTTTCGTGAAAATTCAATTATCTCTATGTATGTGTTCCGTTGTATCTATGAAATAAATTAGTAAATAGAAATGGGGATATCGCAGAGAAATTTCAGATGATCACAATTCACTAAGCCCTTAGTATTGATATATACGATTATCTTAATAAAACTAAATTTGAAGTCAAATCTTTTGCACTGTTGTAGAATATAAATAGATAACAGGAATTGCAGGCGTGGTGAGCCAACAACTTTCGCCCCAAATTTCTTATCATAATAACTATTTTTTTTTGGGGGGTCTGTATTTAGATTTTGCTGGTTTCCATTTGGACGTTTGTCACACTCACATGCATCACGAGTATCATTTTATTATTACTATTCTTAGACTAATTCCTAAGAATTAATTCACGTCGAAATTTGAGTGATCGTTTTTTTTCTTCTTTCTAAATTAGACACATTTGCTGTCTGGGTCCGTTCCAATCCAAGTTTACTTACTTAACGGCATACATTTGATCGATTTCTTTGCTGAAAATGAAAATGAAGAAAACTTGACTTGCTCATATATATTTTTGGCATCAACATTTATACCTAATTAAGACAATTTATGCACTTACCTTTTGTATGTAAGTTGATTATTCAGTAGAATTGCACCTTTGCTAGTCCCTACTCAGCCAATCTGGATTAAGTATCCATATATCTGAACTTCCCGTATTAAATAGGACTGTGAAACCTTAAATTGGTACCATAGTGGTACGTGTTTACATCTCATTTTTAAGTATTATATGATCTTCTACAATTGTAAAATTTTCAAGTTCACGTGAGTTTTTTTGGTATGATATTCTACATAGAAAATTTTGGTATAGTCTTCTTCAGAGCAATTTTGATATCGTCATTTATATGTGCACCATGTTTGCACCATCTCTGAAGTTAAGCAGAATGAAATATTTTGTTATGTTTTGATAGGGTCATTTTGTTTATTTGTTCCCTTCGTTCTTTCAGCATCAAACCAAACCCGTCCTCCTCTGCTTGTTCTTAATCTCCTTCACACTGGCTTTATGTATGCTCAAGAACAACAATATATCTCTCATATCCAAATCACATCCAGTGCACGTCTAAATTACTTGCGAGCTAAATGCGACTGGAGATATCATTGCACACATCACACCTCTAGATTCTCCACCAGCTTTTTTGGAAAATCTATCGATAGGTTCACCACAAGTCACACAAATGTTACACATGGACACGGCCAGCCATCCCTTATGGTTACAATGTCTTCCATGCACCTCATGTTATCCCCAAAACCTCCTTATCTATGACCCTTCAATATCTTACACTTACCACAAATAATCTTGTGAAACCTCTTTTTCATCCTTCCCTTATTTAATACGATATATGATGGTCGTTAGCCGTTTTATTAGATGTGATTTTCGGTTGTGGTTATTATAATTACGTAGGACCTTCACAGTCTTCTCTGACTGGAGTACTCACCATTTTGGGAGCTCCAACTCCATTAGAAATCCAAAAAGGTTTATACTACTAGTCACTCGAAGCTATCGCCATAGGTGGGATAAATCTCCCGATCCACGGATCTTCCAACGTGATTACAGAACCCGTTTAGGCGGTACAATCCTGGTTAGCGAAGCCTATGAGGCGTTGAAGAACGAGATAGAAGATGTTTTCAATGGAAGGTTCAAGACCGTGGTCATGTCTGAAAATCTTATGCAATGCTACTATGGTTATTATGATCGAGATCTGGTTGGCATGGGATTCCCGATTGTCACTTTTCACTTCTCAAGTGGAGCAAAGTTATCTTTAGATGTTAAGAGCTTGTTCATGAAAACTAAAAGTGGTGATGGTTTCATCCTAGGCATAATGTCTAACGTGGATGAGGATTTGAGCTTCATTGGTGCCATGAGTCAACAAGGTTATAACGTTGGCTATGATCTCCAAGCCAATATGGTTTTTTGAGAGAATCGATTGTGGTGTCCTATTTGATTCCTGATCGCAAATTCACTATCAAATTTTTTTGTTCATCTAAATCTGTATGAATGCTTAAGCACTTCGTGTTCGTTGAACTATAAAAAAAAAAATCTGATTCAAACGACGTTTTATAACAATGAAAAAAAACAAAAGACTAGGAGTTTACGGTACAAAAGAAAGTTGCAAATAGAAGAAATAAAATGAAAATCCCCTAATAACATTAGAAAAACCCAAATCGGACAATGGAAAAAACTGGTAAGCGAAGAGATGGTGTAACATCAATAACACCAAAGTATGCAGATTTGGCCTTGTCAATGAATCTCCGGAGAGGGAACATTAATGGATGATTATGTCTTTCATATTTTTCACACATTGCTGTAAACGCGACTTCATCAATATAAACAAGCCGGCGAGCTTCTGAAGCTCCCACTAAAAGCAAGAGGAGGAAGAAGACGATGCTGATTTTCCCTAAAGCCGTTGACATTGTGGAATTAGGGTTTATTTTGTTCTTTTTATTTTGGTGAGATCACAATTATGGGTGTGTGTGTGTATGTATATGGTAAGATGCATATGGTAAGATGCGCCGCGTTTTGGGAAACCGACTAAAAAAAGTTAAAATCTCAATATTATTATTTCATTTGTAAAAGAAACAAAATTAGTTTGACTGTAAAATTTTTATAAATTAATATTTGATACATTAATAAATTCGATTAATTAATAATTTTTTTTTATTATAAATTTAAAATTTGACCAAATTAATCTCTTTATAAATTAATAATTTGCTAAACTAATAAAATTTGAGAGTTCTAATATTATTAATTTATAAAAAATTTACTGTATTTAGTTTTTGAATCTCTTTTTTTCTTAGTTTGTTAATGGATATTCTACTAAAAAATGAAAGTTATTATAAGCAGTCCAGCCCAGCCCTGCCTACCAAGCCCGTTAATGTTGGTGAGTTACTGATCCATTTTCAGTAACCATGAAATCAATTGAACCACTAGAATTACTAAACCGTTTTGATAGATACGAATCTATCAAGAAGAAGTTAAAAGGAGAAATGAAGAAAATAGGGTTGAAATCTCGATAGAGATTTAGAGTTTAGGTGAGAAGAGAAAAGAACGAGATGAGAAAGAAGATTATGGATTCAATCCATTTGTTTGATAATGATCATTTCGATAAGTCTTTACAAAGACAAGACGAGACTAAATACACGAGTATAGAAGACAATGACATAAATGATAAATAAGCTGAGATAATAAAAGACTTGGGCTTCGATCTTCTCAATCCGCAGGCCCAATAATAACCCAAGGTCTTTAGTGTTCGGGTCATAACACGTGTCTCCATGACTCCATCGGTGAGTTCTGTTTCAGTTATCTAAGACCATTTCCAATAGTTTCTCTCCTCATTTTTTCTTTCAAAATAAAATAAACTTAAAATGAAGTAGAATTTTATTTCAGTAATCTCCCTCCTTTTTCTTTCAAAAAAGAATATTCTAAATATATTATTTTCTTATTTTATTATTAATTGCAAACAACACCTATTATTTCTAAATTTATAAATTATACCTAACTATTTTAAAAAATTATAAAATTTAAGCAAACAAAATTCTTAATTTATATTAAAACATTTATTACATAAAGAAAATTACATAACATGACAATGAAAAAATTATATTTTTACGTTTTTATTTATAAAATTAATTAATATTTATTTATTATTATGTTTTAAAAACAATAATATTATATTTGTATAGTAAATAAAAGTTTAAAACTTTTTTTAGATATATATGAAGTATATATAAAACTATAAAGATCATTTTACAAATAAACAAAGCTAAAAAGTGAAATGAAGGATGAATAAAGTTTCCTCAAATTTGATGTAATACTGTTCATAAACTTATTTTTTCCCTCAAAATGATGTACTATTGGAGAAAAATTTTCTTTATTTTTTGATATTTTATCTCAAAATGAACAACCATTGGAGATGGTCTAAGTGAACTTGAATACTTTATCAATACAGTGTATTCTCGACCATTTTACAATTTTATCAAGTTAAAATTAACTAAAATAATTGTGACCACATTAAATGGTGTCCACACGTTTCCACGACGTTCCTCTTATATGCACTGGAACTATAACAATAATTGAATTAAACCGTCTACGAAAAGGACTGAACAATAACCAGAATCAGAAGAAACATGCTTATTTCAATAATCATTTTTTAATTATTATTATTAATTTATACGGAAATCGCGTTTTTCCAACCACAAACTACTAAAACGCGCGTTTGTTTAAAAACACTGTACTTTTAAACATCTGGGCCGTTAGATCTACACAGGTCCAAAAAACACTGTACTTTTAAACCGTTGGATCTTAAAACAAAAAAACAAATCTAAACCGGTACGAACGGTGGAACAAACGTCGATGATGGCTCGTAACAAAACGGCGCCGCCGGATGCTGCCATGTCTTGAAAACCGGCGTTTTCTCAACCGCAGTTTTCGTCTGATTCTCAACCGGCGGTTGCTCGTCGACCGGTGATTCGGGTGAAAGAGCTAACGGTGAGAGGAGAGGTATGGCCGTTTTCCAGTTATTCGCCGGAGCCGGAACGATTTTTAACGCCGGAGCTCGCTTTTGAAGACGACTGGGCTGCCGCCGATTGCCGGAATCTGAGCTGCAGCCCGGTCTCGCCATCGTTGTCGACATAAAGCGCGAATCAAAAGGGTGTTGAAGAAGGCTAAATAAGCGATTTCGAATCAAAGCTAGATTTGAGATTTCGTGGTTTTCCGAGAAAATCTGAGAGAGAAAAAGGGGGAAAGTTTCGATTTTTAGGGATTTGTAATATGTGAGAATAAAGATTCGTGTGCGTGTGTGTGTATATATATAAAGGCGTGTGCGTGTGTCATGCATGTAAATGGGTTTTTATGTGGACTAAACATAGTTTGTGTATGGTCAAAGATAATGAAAGAGATAAATTAGCTGTTTTATATATAACTATATATATATATATATTATAATTTGATCTTCTGTGGCTTTGCTGGATTTCCCAATCCTTGTCTCTTTTTGTTTCTTCTAAAATCTAAATTTTCCTACTTAATAATACTTTCTGTCTCTATTTTCTTCCACTAATTTCTCCTGTTTTTTTTTTTCTTTTTTGTAAATAGCCTACTAAAATCGTTTGGGTAAATAAGTTTGGAAGATATGAAAGAGAGGAATTAGCTGTTTCCTTAAAGTATACTACAACAATCGAAATATGTAACATAACGTTGAAATCGGCTGAAAGTGGAAATACATATCAACAAACCGGTATAATATATAGATATAATTGATTCAATTGTAGTCTGAGTGGTTTTGATATTTGATAACGTATTTGGATAATTCATACCATTTGATAAAACGCACCTATATTTTTTTGTTTGTCAATTTGATTTGTTTACTCAAAGTCTAAAACCAGTGGTAATATTTTTCTTTTCGGGTTGTTTCCCATTTCCAATAGATTAAAAAAGAAAAAGCGATGATTACGATGAAATAGTAATAAAGTAACCAAGGAACCGACGTTGAGAGGTGGGACAACTGCAAGTAGTATCCAATGGACTTGTTGTAACTGATACTTCATGCCACCGCCAGATTTTGACAGCTTCTCATTATCACCTTATTTTATATTGTTATTATTGTCCATTATATGTTATGCTTTATGAATTGAATATCTACCAAAATATATATGTAAGCATAAAACAGTTTGTAATGCCCTTCATGGTCTTTAGAGATCTTCTTCAAACTAGCTTCAATATTTTCAACAGGGTTGACAAATTAAGTAGAATTTGTATTCATATTCCCCGTTTAGCTAACGTATCCGTGCAATTATACATTCAATGGTGGAGAAACATAAGAATTAAGAAGTTTAGTGTTAGAAAGAAACACTTCTGATCGATCTCTTAATCATGTCAGAAAAATATTTTTGTTCACGTCCAAAATTCAAAGAATCAAAACCTATTTTCCAAGTGTTTATGTAAGCAAACTCCTTTTGTTCTTTTCGCCCTAGTTCTCTCTTCGTCACCTAGTCTCTCTCTACCTCAAAGATTTTTTTTTTTGTTGTTGCTAAATCTCTACCCCAGAGATATCCACAGACAGATAGAAAATTCTTTCTTGCTAAACCTATTTTCTCATCAACAAATTTGTCTTTTATTTTGACCAAAACGCATTTTGTCTCTTTAATACAAGCTCTTTATTGTCTTTGTTTACAGCTTTAACATTAGCCATAAAACTTGGTGGAGACGCTCTCTTCGAATCATACACCAACCTGTATGTACTTTCTAAACTGTACAAAGCATTTAAGCATATGTGTTGCAAAGAAATCCCACTTGTTTAAGTATTTTTATTTCAACGGTATTGTTTTATGATCTTCTATTGCATAAATTTCTATTGTCACAGCTTCATATCAGATTTCTTAGAGAAATGATTTCACAGTCTAAGGCATCAAAAAGGCCTGAAAACTAGTATAGTATGTATGTATATATATAATCACGACGTTTCATGTAGATTTATGAAAATAATCTGGTTGAACTAAAAGTTAGTAATTTAGAAGAAAAAAAGGTTAAAATGTAAGAAGAAAGTAAAGTTTTTACCAACATATAGAGGGCTACATCGATCTAATAAGCGCTGAAATTTATTAATACACACATCGGTGATAAAAAAGTATTACATTTTTTTATTTATTTGAAATGTGGTTATTCTTCTTTTTATTATTTTTCAAATATTCACGTTTTAAATAGAAAATTTTAAATTATTTACTATTAATGCGTTCAAATTATTAGTATAAAATAAAACATCATCAATATAGTATTTTTAAAAATCAATAAATATTCTGTATCAGCTCTATTCAAACTTTTGAATTTATTTTTTGCTGTTCTATCATTTTGTCACACCAATAATTGTTTAACATACAATGAAGTCAATTTTGTTGACGAATGACTACGTTCTACGTACGTACATTTATCGCTGATCCGCTGAAATATTAAAACTTGAAGCATCAAGAAATTGATTAAGTTAAGGGTAAGTTAATGTCTATTCTCTTTGACGTCAAACGTGATAACGTCGATAGGTTGAATGTGGCGTTTTCTTTGATATGACTTGCAAACTAACTCTTGCAATACATTTTTATACGCTTTCTGGCGTAGGATTTGGAATTGCATTGGTTACTTCAAGAGAAAAAATAAGAAAAGAAATTCCAAAATACTATTATACAGAAAGTTTTCAAACTATAAATAAAGTAAGTATGTACTTATATTTCACGTTCCCATTTTATCAACCCTTTATGTAAAATTCTTCTTTTATTCAGTGACTTATTCGGTTTACCATTTTCTCTGGTTTACGAAACATTTTTAGTCAAGATTATTTGATTACGATTGAAATCCAATCTAACATACACATATCCAACAACCCACACGTAGGACCTATGTCATCATGAAAGTTTACTCATGTACAACACTGTGACTACAAATTGGGAGAAAGGGGAAGCAGCAACTGCATAGGCCAAAAAACAAAACAAAAAATCTCCGGTGGAGATGTGTATAATTCTTGAACATCCGGGGAGATAATGAGGAGAAAAAACTTTGATATGAATACTCGGAAGCACGTCATTGGTTGTACAAAGTGTTCAACCTCCACGTATGCACTTCTCTTAATCTTTAAATACTTTCCTCTTTGGATTAAACTTGCTATATATTTCGATTTTACCCCATTTCTTTAGTTTATTGAAATACCGACCCACAAATCTGTTTTGTGCTTAAGGACACTCAATAGCAACTAAAATGGGAAAAAGACTCCGATAGTAAAAGCAAACTAGTGTCCACTAAACCCTTAGACCAGATTTGTTTAGTGAAAGTGTTCAATGGCATATGATCTTTTGCAATTTGCTCTCAAATACTGAAATACTTGAACAACTTTTGTAGCAAATTTGGTTCCTAGATTTTTGTTTTGTAGTTGTTGTACTTGTACGTGAAGTCACTTTCTTCGTAAGTTAACAATACAATAATGGAACCAGGAAACATAAGGGAAACATTGGATCAAAACTAATATCAATTTCTAATTTAACAATAAGCTCAAAAAAAGGAACTGACATAATGATAATGAGAACTACCGATGTAAGGAAATGAGTTTGTGAAGTTCATCTTTCAGTTTGCTTTGGCTTTAGAAGTTGAGGTCTTATCATCTTCTGTCTCCTTCTCCTTGTTCTTCTCTCCCTCCTCGAGGTTGTCGATACTATGCTTCAATCCAATGTAATAGAGCAACACTCCGATTGACGTCAAGTTCTGCAAATCAATCAAAATATTCGTTAATTAATATTGTAACTCGATCATGAGATCATTGTATGAATTTACGCGGTAATTAACAAAGTTAAATAACCTGAGTGAAGTTGTTCAAATTGTTCGGGAAAGGAATCACAGTTGAGAGAATTTGTGTTGCGAGCTTAATCAAGAAAACATGTTTTGAGATCAAGATCTTTTGTTAAAAAAAAAAAAAATAGACAAACATTTTCTCAAGATAGAGATTTATGTTTTTACCAAGAAGTGCTGGGATGGATTGTCCGAAGATGAACCATAAAGCTGCAGCCCCCTTTGCGCCTATAAGCGAAAACTCTAGAAGTAGAACATCGAACGCGACCACTTGCATTCCAGTGTAAAACGTGAGAACCTTAGAACCATATTTGGTCATTACATTCACTGCTGGTCCAATCTTCTTTTCGAGAGGTCCACCATCGCCAAAATGATCAGCGTAACAAATAGAGACGTGGACCAAAGGTGAAGTCATCAAGCCTTCCTAGAAGACGACCAAATCGAAGAATAAAATTCTTACTCTTAGAATGCAGATATGAGAAAACACAGAGGCAAATGCCATTCTCCCGAAGAAAGCGATGGCTGGCATTGACTTTTTTAAGGTTGTGCACATCATGTTCTTAAGGTTGTGCACATCATGTTCTTGACGTTCGACATACTCGAATTGTGTTCTTGATGTCAATGTTAGCTATAAAATCTGACTAAGATAGTGGTAAAAACAGAAAAAAACTTCAAATCAGCATTGAGAAACAAGAATAGAGAAGAATCTTGATGAGAATCATTAATCAAGCCAATAACTCTACAAACAAACTAAATTTATTTTCTGAAAAAAGCATAACAGTAACATTTTTTTGCATAACCTGTTGTTTCCTTAGTGTAAGAACTAATCAAAAACAAGAATTCGGATGTTGATTAGGGGCAAAGATATTTACTTGTTTGAAAAGTAAAGCTTTACTGATCTTGTAGCATATTAATTTGAAGAAGTAAATAAATAGAAAATATGTGCTTGAAGATGGATAAAAGAGAGAAAAAATGTACTTTTTTCAGAAACCTGTAGACCAAATAAAAGTAAGTGAAACAATTCCCAGAAACCAAGTTTTTGTTTGAACTTTTATTTCTGTATAACATTTAAAACCAATTAGGAATGTGAAGCCCTTATAGAGGACAATAGACCAACTAAAGGGTCAAATAAAGATACAATGACCCAACGATTTTCTCCAAAGTAAAAACGTCAATTTCAAACTGAGCTAAGTGAAAATTGAGTTGAAGAAAAATTGTAGTCGAGGAGCAAAACTGCGTGAACAATTGACTTTATCTATTTTATAGCTTAGTCGTCGTTGGCGAAGATGATCTAGCAAAATCAGCTCATCTGAAAGTTGACAAGCCAGTAGTCTCCAACATGATTTGAGTATCTCTATCATTCCCAAACAGCTGTTTATGCAGAAGACGATGTAATCGTCCAAAGAGCTGTTTCTTCAATGATTTAAAAGCCAAATCGAACCTCTCAAGCTGTTCCATTGCATTAGGATTGTATAAAAACAGTCCATAATAAAGATCAAAGCTGTCACCAGCAGTATTCTCCACCAATTTTAGCAACGTCTCATAACCTTTGGTATCGACAGGAGTTGATACCAAGCTCAGCTTCTCCAGAACCCTACCTACAGTGTGTGTTATAAACTGCGATCCAGCAGCATGCCAATCATGTTCAGCACACGACATCTCCACCATAAAACATCCCTCACGAGCAAAAATATCGAGAAAACTGTCACACCTAGATGTTCTTCTATCATCTTTTCCGATCCTAACTTTATCAAACACAAAGGAAAGACCTTTCCACCCATTTTTACCACTCTCTGGTCCAAACATGGGATGTGTACACAAAATATCAAAATCCTGTGGGAGAGTTTGAAGAAAGGAATTCCTGGGGAACTCTTTTACAGAAAGCACATCCACAAAAAGTGTGCTTCTCTTCAGTCTCTGAAAAGGGAGTGACTTGAGAACTTTTTCAGTCGAGAGGATTGATGTACAAAGAAGAATAACTTCAGGATGCTCTTCAAATAGATCATCAATGTCTGGTATATACAAGACACCCAGCTTCGCAGCTTCATCAGTGTAGTCAGTTCTCGAATAAGCTAACACCGTGTGACCCTGCCTAACCATCGTTTTCGCTAGAAACTGTCCAAAGTTTCCAAACCCGATTATACCAATCTTGAGCCTCGAACTGTCATTGACGCTGCTAGAGAGCTCGGCGTTATATTCATACTTCAAAATAACATCTTTTGACCTGCAAGATTACAAGTTTATAAGCATGTGAAACAAACTAATGCATCTTAATTCAAGAGACGTCTAAATCAGGCAAAAGATTTCCAGAAAATGCAAGCAGAAGTGTACCTAATCGTATCCAAAGAAGCATCATTTTCATGACCATTTGGAAAAACAAGAGCTCTCTGTGTTTCACCTTCAAAGAGCTGCTTCCTCACAACACCATGAAGTCGACCAAAAAGTTCCTTACGCAACGCTTGGAAAGCCAAATCCATCCTCTCTAGCATCTCCAACGAGTTCTTATTATACACAAACAACCCATAGTACAAATCGAAGCTATCCCCACGAGTATTCTCAGCTAAATCAAGCAATGCCTCATACCCTTTAGTGTTAATCGGCGTAGATTGCAATTTCAGCATATCCAAAACCCTACCCACTGTATGCGTTATGAACTGCGATCCAGCAGCATACCTATCATGATCTGCACAGCTCATCTCAACCATCTCACATCCTTCACGCTCGAAGATCGCCAAAAAATCCTCACACCTTGAAACCCTCGAGCTATCTTCGCCGATCCTAACCTTGTCGTAGACGAATCGTAAACCTCGCCATCCGCGATTCGAACTCTTCACACTCTGGGGACCAAACATTGGGTGCGTGCAGAGAGTATCGAAATCTTCGGGTAAGTATTGAAGGAGGAGAGTCTTTGCAAACTCTTTAACGGAGAGAACATCGACAAAGAGTGTGTTACGACGGAGTCTCTGAAACGGCAGCGTTTTGAGTACATTCTCGGTGGAGAGGATTGAAGTACAGAGTAAAACGACGTCGGGGTGACGCTCGCAGAGATCGTGAAGATCTGTGAAGAAGGAGACGCCGAGACGGCGAGCGGCGGCGGAGTGATCAGATCTGGAATAAGCGAAGAGAATGTGGCCTTGGGAAACTAGTGTTTCCGCGAGGAATTGACCGTAGTTGCCAAATCCGATAATGGCGATTTGCAGAGGCGGAATTGAATTAACTGGTTTGGGATTGAGAGGGTTATCGTTAGAGACGGCGGAGATGGAGAGGCGACAAGTGGTGGTGGGATTAGGTGGGCGGAGAGAGAGAGAAGAGAGCATGGTAATGGAGGAGAGAGAAGGAAAGGAGTGAGGAGGTTTGGTGAGGAGGTTTGGGAAGAGAGAGTAGTGAGGGAGAAGATGGGAATGAGAGATCATTGGAAAGGAAACGAAGGAGTTATGAAGATGATGATGATTTTGGGGAAGAAGATTTTTATGACTTCGGCTGCCATTTTTCTAGACAGAAGATCAGTGGAGGTGTTTGCAGTCTGCACGTTGGGTTGAAATTAAAATAAAGAACGCAGTGTCGTGGAAAACTCTTGCCTAAAACTATGTGTGTATATATAAAGGCGTGTGCGTGTGTCGGTAAATGGGTTTTTATCATTTTATGTGGATTACACATATGTAGTTTGTGTATGGTTGAAGATCATGAAAGAGATAAATTAGCTGTTTATATATATATACACACATAGTTTTGCTGGATTTCCCAGTCCTTCCGTTTCTTTTTGTTTCTTCTAAAATGTATATTTTCCTACTTAATAATATACATACTTTCTGTTTGCGACAGAAAAAAAAAAATTTCTGTTTCTATTTTCTTCCACTAATTTTCTCTTGTATTTTATTTTTGTCTTTTTTTAGTAGCCTACTAAAATCGTTTGGGTAACGTAAGTTTGAAAAATATGAAAGAGAGGAATTAGCTGTTTTCTTAAGTATACTACAACAATCGAAATAGTTTTTTTTTTCTCTTCATTCAAAACGTTGAAATCGGCTGAAATTGGAAATACAGTTAAACTTCTATAAATTAATAACGTCAAGATTACAATATTCTATTAATTTATCAAGTTACAGATATATTTGGATAATTCATCCCATTTGATAAAATGCACCTAGATTTTTTTGTTGTCAATTTGATTTGTTAAAGTCTAAAGGGATAATTAAATGAATAACCAAATCTTAATAAAGTGTAAAAAATATAATAGATATACCAAAATTAAGCAAGTAACAATTGATCAGTTTTTTGGATAATTTTGTTATTTTTAACACATACATAGACAGTTTATGTATAACACATATTGTTACCCCATAGATTTTTTTTTTTCTGTTAGAAACATCTTATTAATAAATTCAATTTTATATATTTACACAAAAATACTGATTTATTTTCATGTCTAATATGATTTGAATTTTAAAAACTAACACAATTTTTACCATACGTGAATAGTATCACCTATAACATAACAAGTCTATTTTTATCAATAGTAAGTCTTTTTGTTTTTTTTAATCAGATATACCTTTTGAAGGCTTTATTGCTAAAAATCCAAAATTTATTGTTTACTCGACAGTAAAGCTTAGAATCCATTTATTTGGAGCTTTTCGAGTCACTTGAGAAATAGCTCACCATTAAAAAAAAAACTAAGTTTTGATGATATTAGTGATGGAGCTAGTCACTAAATAGTTTTCCTTAAGACAATAGACGTTCTATACATATATAAAAATTAGCAAATAGAAAAATAGCAAAATTGCAAGTTATATAGATTTTCCATAGAAAGAAAAAAAATGTACATAATTTTTTTGAACATTTTGTTCATCCATATATTAAATCATCATTTACAATGTACCAATATATTATTCTACAAAAAGTTTGATTCAATGACGTGATAACTTAGCTAATTACGAGCAATGTTCTATACACCAAAAATATTGTTTTTTATACATAAAAATAGAATTTCTATACAAAATATGTCTGAATTTTAGATCCATTTACAATTCAATTCGATTCAATATCCAGATCCATATATTAAGGTCCAACAATTTAAGAATCACCAATTGAATAACAAGGGTTTCATAGGAAGGTTAACGTCTTCGTTGATGGAAGGAATCAGGAGAGAACGAGCGAAGCCGTAAACGAGTTGAGAATTATCAGATGATAAGGAAAATGAGGTAAATGATGAATTTTTGCTGGAAAAAGATCAATGAATTTAATGAATAAAAATAAAAAATAGTTTGAAGGTGGAGCTCCACATGTACAGAAGGAATTGGCTCAATCAGGACCTTAGATTTAAGGAGGAAGGAGCTGCCAGATGATTTGAGTCCACAGTGAAGAAACTTGACAAGATGCAATGGAACGGCGAGATGCTAAGCAGCAGTGGCGAGACAAGAGAACAGCTGATCGGATGAAAATAATGATGCTCAAACCAAAATTGTTTACGTTTCCGTTATTTTCTCTTTTTTGGTATCAGAGAAACTGGTGGAGGTGGTGATAATCCACTCTCGTCATTATTAGATGCCTTAATATTATAATTGGGATCCAACTGAGTTTTGTTGGAACTTTGCATTGTCCGTATCTATGTGAGGGAAAAAAAAATAGAATAAAAGAGATGAAAGAGAATGAAGATATATATGTGATTAAAGTTAAAATTGGTATTCATAATATATAGAGAATGTTGGTTTTAGTTTATTTTTTGGTTAGTTTGTTTAATATTTTTTTGATGAATATTGAATGCAATTTCCTAAGTCTAATAAATCTCAAAGTCTAAGACCAGTTGTAATATTTTTCTTTCGGGTTGTTTCCCATTTGCAATATATTTATAAAAAAAAAGCGATGATTACGATGAAATAGTAATAAAGTAACCAATGAACCGACGTTGAGAGGTGGGACAACTGCGATTAGTAATCCAATGGATGTGGGAATTATGTGGGATGTGGGCAAAACTGCAAAAGAAAAATACATGCCATTTATAAGAAAAGTGTAATAGTTATATGGGTTTAGGTTTATTTGAAACATAGACGTTACTAAATATTAAGCTCAGTCATTAAAATTCAATTAACAAATAAGTCAATCACTATGGCCTTATGTTTTACGTTTTTTTGTTAGCTAATAAGTGGACCAATTTATGTTGGTATAGTTATATTGATGGATTGAATTGAATGCGGTTTTAATTTTTGTTTTTTTTTTGGCTTAAAAGAAAGATGCTATTGATGTTACATGATTTTTTTTCTAATACGTTGAATGAATTCAATGTATTTTAGTTATGTAGATTAAATAAAAAGTCAATCATTATGGCCTTATGTTTTAAGTTTTTTTGTTACTAATTAGTGGACCAATTTATGTTGGTATAAATATATTGATGTATTGAATTGAATGAGGTTTTATTTTTTTTTATTTTTTTACTTAAGAAAAAGATGTTACATGTTTTTTTTTAAAAATAGGTTGAATGAATTCAGTGTAATTTAATTATGTAGATTAAATAAAATAGATTTTTTTTATAAAATAAAATGAGAATGTCAAATGGTCCAATAGGAAAAAAGTGAAACCCTTCTTTTATATATATGATTTGTAATGTGGTTATTTTTTATTATTTGTCAAATATTCACGTTTTAAATAGAAAATCTTTTATTATTTACTATTAATGCGTTCAAACTATAAGTAAAACATAAAACATCATCAATATAGTAGTTTTAAAAACCAATAATTATTCTGTATCAGCTCTATTCAAACTTTGAATTTATTGTTTGCTGTTCTTCACACTAACATACAATGAAGTCAAATTTGTTGACGAATGACTACGTTCTACATATAGTAACACTTCTATAAATTAATAATGTTGGGACCATAATAATTTATTAATTCATCGTGGTATTAATTTATCTATAAATTAATAATTATTAATTTATAAAGAAAATTTGCTTTTCGCAAACAATTTTCTAAAAATTTCTTTGTAACAATATTAGATTTTAAAATTGTAACAAATTTTATGATATAAATTATGATAGAAAATCATAACTATCACAAGAAAATAGTTTTTAACACCATATTGGATTGTCCGTATAAAAAAAAAAAGTTCATAAGTTTAAAATTTATAAAAAAAACTATGGCTACTATCAATATTACTGATGATAAAATTAAAGATAACACTACAATACATTTACAAACATTTAAAGGTAAGAAAATCAATTATCACATCAAAAAATCATCATAAATGTTGGATGTATATAGTAAAAGAGCAATAAAAGCTACTGATATAATAATTAGAGAGATGAAAACCAATGAAATTTCAACTTTAAGTAAAAACAAATTTTAGAATATTGTATTTAGATATATTTGCATAACTTTATATTATTATTAATTTATGTTTTTGTTGAGACCATACATAAGAATTTCAAAAAAATATTATCTTATTATCTTATCGAATTTAATGGATTTTTCCATTGACCCGATTTGGAATCAACAAAATTTATTAATTTATAGTGATTATTAATTTATCGAGTATTGATATATAGATGTTTTATGGTACTTTCATTTATTATACATTTATCGCTGATCAGCTGAAATATTAAAACTTAAACATCAAGAAATTGATTAGTTAATGCCTATTATCTTTGACGTCAAAACGTGATAACGTCGATAGGTTGAATGTTGCGTTTTCTTTGATATGACTTGTAAACTAACTCTTGCAATACATTTTTATACGCTTTCTGGCCTAGGAATTCCAAAATTTTTTGATAATACAAAATACTATTATACAGAAAATAAAAGAAAATAAAAGAAATTCTAAAATATTATTATACAGAAAGTTTTCAAACTATAATTAAAATAAGTCTGTACTTCCATTTTATCAACCCTTTATGTCAAATTCTTCTTTTATTCAGTGACTTCTTTTTTTTTTTTTAATTCCGCAACCTTTTAAATTTAAAGACATTGTTGAAATACAATATTAAACACGCAGACATGAAAAGGGAAGAGAACAAGAAAAAAATACAAGATACAAAACTGAAACTCGCGCAAAACAGGAATATGGAGATATGTGTCAAAGTAATTTGCGGAAGTCCTTTATTCATCAGCCTAAAGGCACATATATATACAAGTACATTAGTCAATCTTAAGTTAGAAACTAGCAATGTGGGACAAATTACTCTAATAATTCTAATAACTAACTATACAGGGCCCAATAAGTCTAATATCTCCTAATATCTCTTAATACCCCCCCCTCAAGTTGGAGCATGGAGATCTCGAATGCCCAACTTGCACAAAATTCCTTTGAATGGACGTCCTCCAAGTGCTTTAGTGAAGATATCCGCCAACTGTTGAGTAGTAGAAACATGTTGGGTCTGAACAATTCCAGCCTGTATATCGTCTCGAATGAAATGACAATCAATCTCCACATGCTTCGTTCTCTCATGAAACACAGGATTAGCTGCAATATGAAGCGCAGACTGGCTGTCACAATATAATCTATTTGGACCAGAATGTGCAATACCCATTGTTAACAACACACTCTTTAACCACTTCAACTCCTTCAATGCCAAAACCATAGCTCGATACTCTGCTTCAGTTTGAAGAGCATGATACAACATCTTGCTTC